ATGTTCTGACGTGACTGTCTGGGAAGACAAAGATGGAAAGCCGACAAATCTGTGACAGGTGAACGGCTTGGACTTGCCTTACTGCGCAGGCCATTGTATTCTTCAGCCAGAGGAATCTTGTAAAGCGAGAATTCTTTCACAGAATGCCTTTGCACACTTTAATCAATCACCTTGGGTTGCACCATACATCAGACATCCACAATCAGCATCTAGAACCGCAAAGCCATGTAATGGAAAACACGTTCAGCCGAAGAGAAATGATTACCTATGTAAACCAGTATGCTATGTTTCTAAACGGCAGAACGATCACACAGACTGCCACTGTCCAAGTAAAGATGCGGGAATAGCGATGGTACGGACACGGACTAAGGAAACACAGGATCATCCGATAAGAACAGCGCTGGACTTCGGGATGCCTTGGAAGCGACGACGAGGAGCCCAAAAGGAGGTGGTGGGACGTCATAAAGAAGGGTCACTGAAGTCGCGGCCAAAGATGCCTTGAACAGGGCCAAGTGGCGACGACTCAAATGAAGTGCGGACTCTGCGATGCGAAGGAGAAAAGTCATAGTAATAATAAGGAGACGACGAACTTAACCATTGGTTGTTAACAACCATCTTCGTGTATGCTACATTTTGATACTTAAAGGCACGGGTCGCAATTGAAATAAAGTCTTATTTCGGTAGAAAATGAGGCAAGAAGTGCGACGAGGAACGTGATTGGAGAGAAAAAACGAAAAAAAAAACAGAAAACACTATAGGGTTTGTCGAAATTATGAGGACAGCGTTTACGCACGGTTATATCCGATTTTCCCAACTCGCTAGATTCCCATCTCTTTCCCTATGCCGATGGGACGTCCGAACGAGAAAAATCTGTCAAAATGCCTGAATCCAAGTTTGGTCACGTTTAAGGCCGATGTCAGGCTTTGCGAATCGCGCGATTCGCAAAGTCTGACATCGGCCTAATGCGGCTGTGCTAAGGCAATGAGAGACTGAGCGCGGAGAGGAGAGTATGAGGCGAGAGAGCGCAACAGATGAGAGGGCGCCAGACAACAGCCTGAAAAAATTGCAGCTGCTGCAGCTTACTTTGCAAGGCCCTAGCGCCCTTGTCGGGCGATTTCATGCACGGGAGTTCCTGATCTGTTATGGCGCTTTAAGGATATATCTTACCAAACGAAGGCAACCGTTTACACAACTTCAGACTGGGTTGTACCTTTACCTATAGCAGTGATCTGATCGCTTTTAGGACGATGTCAGACTTTGCGAATCGAGCGATTCGCTAGCGTCCGCGGTCGCGTTGCAGTACCAGCAACGAGCGGTTCGCTGGCCGCGACGCGACCGCAGACGCTAGCGAATCGTTTGCAAAGTCTGACATCGGCTTCAGCTGTAATCTCTTCATGGCTGACCCTGCTCCATTAAGACCCCCAGCCTGAAGTGACAGTAGCCAAAGAACCGAGTGCGAACGAAGGAAGAAAAACAATTGGGCGCAACACAATGTGCAGGGTTTCGGCCACAATGAGGAAGCTGGGTAAACGAATGCTCATGCGGACAGGAGAAAAAAACCCGCATATAACTATACATATGTTCAGGTGAGAACCCTAGGCGTTGCTGAATTGAGCCGTTACGCACTCGCGTTTGCACAGTCGCGAACGGAACCAATTAGCCAAAAACAGCTGGACACGGCCGCGGAACAAGGCATCGTTGACTATCGCAGGGTGGGGAAGGGCGTCATACTGTTGTTGGCTGTCCCTTTTAGGAGTTACATGACAGTTCTGGGAGCTGTCGGGCTGGACTACCTTTGCCTTGTGACAGTTCTGGGAGCTGTCAGGCTGGGCTACCTTGCCTTTTTTCTACACCAGCCACCAAATTGACTGTTCTTTTTACAAATTCGAAAATGACACACGTAAGAAATACATAAAATATGCAGCACCAGGTGCTAATGGAAAGAGCTGAGCGACGGGCGACGACGACCTCAGATCGATACCAGGAATAGAATTCTTCAGTTGGATTATCATCAAGCTCAATTCAACATCGAATTCAACAGCAACACTTTTTAAGGCAGCAGATTCAACCAGCTGGGAAGAGAGCGTGAAACGGTGAACGAATTCTGATTAGTGTCGATAAAGTCTCTGAAGAAGGGTGACAGAGAGAAATTACACTCGCCTAACAAAAATAGCACCTAGTTACAGGGTTACATACATACACACACAAATACCATGATGGCAGGCAGTACACAAAGAGCGCAAAACAACAGCAGACTAGACGAATTCGGGCCGAACAGCGTCATCGTCGCTGTCCAGACCACTGTACCCGAACTGGAACGCCGGTGGCACGGGTATTCGGTTTCGGTAGTGACGATAGGCGAGCAGACCTGAAGAAGCGTGACATCATAGGAGCTCCATGGTGACAACGGAAGGATACGAAAAAAGCATAAACGTTAGTCTACTGATGATGCTCTCCGAACTAAGAACATTTTCCTCTGGAAGCGCGTCAAGACACGAGGAATGCGAGAAGACTTCAGGACAGAAACACCAAAAAAGGTCTACACCTCCTTCCCTTTCCCATCTCCCACGCTTTCCCCTAAACGAGCACAAGTTCAAGAAATCTGACATGAAGCATTTGAACCTTGTCGGATCGCCAATGCAAACTTTCGAAATCGCTCTAAACAAGCACTGATGAGAAAGAGGGGTGTTAAGTGAGTTGGGGGGGGGGGACCACGCGGCGGCGCGGCGTCTGTCAAGCGCAATGGCACTAAGCCTGAGCCTAGAAGGAGGCTCAAATGTACCAAAACTTGGATTCCGCAAATCACAAATCACACAGTGTTCACAGCCTCCGTAATGAGCTCCGCTTTAGTCCACGAGGGCATGGAAGAAACGGTGCCTCCACCTTGGTCCCACCACAACTCACTTGACACCCAGGGAGGGACCGCCGTCGGGGAAGGAAATACATACGGCACAGGGAGCCAGTAGCTGGTGCTTAGCGAAGCAAATGATAGCGCTTTAGGACGAAAGCGTGTGTGGTTGGTGAGCGTAATCTAAAAATCGCTCATCCCCCCCCCCCTCCAACACCCTTAAGCGCAACCACCCACTAGTTTACTTGGTGATTTGGACGAGCTGTGTTGCCAGCAATGGCACAACTGGAACAACTCGTCTTGTAGCATGATTTGGCATGGCGCCACCAAAGGCACGGTAAAACTCGTTCATACGTCCGCTTTCTTAGCCGCTGCCCGTGAGCGGAAATCCCCACGGCCAAGAACACAGCGATCCGTTTTGCATTTTCTCCGGATTCTCTTGCGTTTTTCGCCAGAGCCACTGAAGCACCCCTATGTTCCCTCCAAACTCCAACAAAACCCATCATAATCGGTGGCTCAAACTCCAGCCCCAAAACCATGTTTTTGTACGCTGTGCAACAGTTAGTCAGAAGACATACGCCAAATCTGTCCGAAGGAATCTCTGAAACATCTCTCACAATCAAGTTAATACGATGACAGGGTGCAGCAAAGACACCCCATTTGGTCAACTCGTCAACGTCTCTTTGCCGTTACTCCACCTTCATACCCTCGCTAAATCTCCAACCGTTATGCCACCGTGAAATCCGAGGAACCTTTGCTAGTCGGTCACCTGTCATTACACCGGCACTACAACATAGCACTGCTCAGTAACCCGTCTTAACAAGTCCACGTAATCACCAGGTTTCCAATAGAAATTCGGTACCTTTGCAGTAAAGACGCAAATTCTAAAGCCTGTTGGGAAAAGAGTCGAATTTAAACATTGATTTCTTGCTTGGAGTAAACGCGATGGAAATCGCTGCTTGGCAACAGCCCTGCAACCTTTGTGAGATTCTCTGGCTAGGTAAGTGAATCGTGAAATGTGTCATCCCCGCTTACATTAGGATACCTCAGCAACTTGCAACAATAATAGAACGCAAGATGGGATGCTCGAAAGGTTGGAGAAACCCTGTAGAACAAGAAGATTAACAATAGTTCTAGAACAAGAGAGTGCGTCCACATATGATTGCGCAAGTTCGCGAATACGTCTGCTTACAGTACATCTATAGTCACAGATGGTGAAGCATTGTGGTTCTCCAGCTGGTCAAATAGTTTCATTGCCACCCCTTTCTTGAGAATTTCCTCCTCCAGGAAACTACGTGAAAAATTACCCTCTACTTGGAGACTAATAGTAAGCCTCAGCTGAGAGGAGAGACTTTAGGGTGAATGAGCAATTTTCCAATCCATGGCGATGTTTCTACCCCTCCTAGGTCTGGTCCTTGAGGACAGCGCCCGCTTGATAGCTCCCCATAATGAAGTTTGGAAAAACCTACATATTATCGAACCACTGGTAAGGTAGTCATCAAAGGATAAGGATAAAGGATAAATTTGCCGTTGATCAATCCCTTTTGGGATGCGGCACGCATTCTACTTCCATTTGTACATTCGTAGTGGCGTTTGAATGCGATGTGGCCTATACAATGACTTGCGGGGCCAGCCGATGTACAAGTCAGTGTTTTTATCCTCCCAGACAAGTCTGGTACCAATTAACCGACCCCGGAGGGATGGAAGGCTTGGTTGGCCCGGGCGACTCACGACCCAGGATTTGATCCCCAAACCGCTCGCGTGGTAAGCGTGCCACTTGCCACTCACTTCGCCCTCGGAAGGTAGTTTTACCGACTTTTACTTGTTGCCAAAAAAAGGAAGAAAAACACTCACATCCGGCAGAGACGACAACAAGGAGAATCAGGGTGCCCAATCCCCAACTGCTTGACTTGCATAAGTCTTCTTTCAGCTCAAAGAGGTTTTTTCCTGCTCGATTGGGTGGCGATGCACAGAAGGTTTTACCCTAAATAATTTTCGAAATTCGAGAAGAAGATCAATTTTATACAACATTACTTAAAATAACTCCAAATAATCTTTGAAATCCGTATATGTACTTGGGAAAGTCGGAAACGCCACTAATAGGCCATTTTAGTATGCGCTATTAGAAAAAAAGTGTCAGCTGTGCAAATGCTGCGTGGGTTTCATAGGATTAATCCATGCTAAAATTTTACTTTGATTATAGCAGGAACTGGGAATTAGTGTTTTTTTCTAAACAAGGATTTTTTCTAAATGTTCCATCGTTCCTTTACATCATTAAGACAGCTCAAAATAGGAAATACAGGGAGGAAAAAAATGTTCAAAGACGGTTATTCGTTGGATTTTACCAAAACACGAATTCAACAAAAATCCGAGCCCGTCTAAAAAAAAAACATGGCGCCGAGTTCTAGAGCACCCCAGAGAAGATAAAGTAAGCTTGACATCGGAAAAGCTGTGGTTGATAGGGCTTAGATTACCTGGTTCAGGAAGCTGTACTTCTCCTGCTTGGCTATCGTCGAGAATGGCTGCAACGAGCAATCGCAGTTGAGTGGATTTCCTGAGATATCCAGCGTACTCAACGACTCCAATGAATCCCATAGTGAAGTGGGTACCTTGAAAAACAAACGTTTAGATTGCCATCGCCAAGACTTGTTGAAGTGTTTTTCTATGACCCGAGGCGTCGTTACCCATGGGCCTGAGCTTCACGACTGGTGAATGGTTGTGGTCCTTCTTGTCAGCGCCCAAACAATAGAAAGATGACCCAATCAAAATAACAGCCCATTGATGGAAATTCGTGGGTAAAACTAAGAGTTTGATAATTTTTGAAAAAATTCACCACAGTGAAATGATTTCCACTCAGATCGAGCGCTTCAAGCGATCGCAGGCAGTTGGGCGCTACCTCGAAGGAGGTGAGATTGTTGTTGGAGAGATCAAGCCGACGTAAGCCAAGCACCTGGAATCAATTTCTTTAAAACACATATATATCTGCACTCGAGAATTATGATCTATTGTTTCACAAGAATGCTGGGTTGTGAACAAAACTTTCGCCCCAGGCGGGACTAGAACCCGCACCTCTCGCTTTCCGGGCAAGTGCGCTACCAGTTACGCTACCGGGGCACCATTTCATTCCAACTCAGCTTTTCATGGTATACTATGTACTTCTGGGTGATCGTCGGTGCCTCCGGACGGGCAAACAAGCGCGGCGCTTGTCTGTTTTAGTGCGGATGCAATTTCGAGACGAAAGGCACGACAGAACAACACTACCTTTCGTTCTGTTTCTTAATTGCTTGTACGATGTGGCAAACAAGCCCAAGAAAAAAGGGACCGTCCCTCACGGAGAACGCTCAAAGAGGGACAAGAAAGGCAGAGCGTGCCAATCGAGAACAGCTGCCGTGCTGCCCTTACTGCTTAATTTTTAATAAAAAAAACCCTACAATAAGTAAGAGACGGCTCAGCTGCATATTGCGAATACGTGCGCTTTGTGGATCAGACGAGACTATTTCTCACGGCTGCTAAGCCTATCCTTCGGCGTCAGTTTATCATGCCCAACTTGTCAGGCGGAATAAAACCCCGACCTGTACTACGGTTAGCGGTTTGTTTTAGTCCAAGAGCTGAGCTTCTTTGCATTTCATTCTGAGCGGCAGGCGGATGGACAGACAGACAGCCATATTTATAGGTGTACAGTACACATGCGTGAATTGGGGACCAACCCGACACGTCAAGTCAGCGGACTATACAGTGGAAGGATATTCAAGCATTGGACGCTGAAGAACAAATTTGGGCTTCTTGTTAGACCCATCTCTGCGCCATGCCCTGATTATACTTCCGACAGTCAAGCAGCTAAATTCAGACTCCACTCACTTCCGACTTTGTAAGCACTTCGTAAATTTTTCTGTACCAGTCTGTTGTCTTGAGAACATAGAAGACAACTCTTTAAAAGTAATGGGTTAAACGGACTGTACAGGTGGAGTGCGGTTGATCTAACCCGCTAATCTCGGATAATAAGGGCAAAGCATTCGGCGGTTGATCACACTTCGTATAATGTATGCTATACGAAGTTATTACGATTCGCAATCGTAGTGGCACGTTGAATGGGATCCAGCCTATACAATAACTTGCGGGGGGGGGGCCATACAAGTCAGTGTTTTCATCCTTCCAGACAAATTTTATCCGTCCCTTTAGGGATGGAAGACTTGGTTGGCCGCAAGGCCTCACAATTTGACCTACGACCGCGTGCGTTGTAAGCAGCGCTACCTGCCACTACACCACTTCTGTCGATTAGTTTCGGATCGTTGCTAAGACCCTTTCAATTTAGATCTTCACACTCAATGAACGATTCAATGAATGACGATCAAGGAAAGGACGGGCCCGCGTTTTGGCACAGTCACATGCGTCTCCTTACAAAATGGGTTTGTCTGCGGATAGATTGTTCCACAAATATTTGAATGCTCTCCTAATGACACATCGCATGGGACGCCGCTGGCGGAGGATGACTGCTCATGTCTATCAAGACGCAGGTGCGTACATCGCCCAAGATGAAAACGTCTCCGCCACCTTTGTTTGAAGATTGATGATCCCATTTTGATCGATCTAGGACATCGTCGACTTTATGAGGACTTCAACACGCCACCTTACGGTGAACGTAGGCAGGGTTTCGCGCCGTCGACATAATGTGAAGAAATGATTGGTAATGATATATCTGGCGGAAACCTCGTTGTGTTGACATTCCAGGAAATGCTCGCACTAGCTTGCGTTAGTTCTGCCTACACGAAAGATGAAAGCACTGGGCGAATGTGGGCCGGCCAGCGTGAAGAAAAAACGAAAAGAAGTGGGTCGAAAACGCTTTCAATTAGTGGGCCTTTATTCACTCACCTTCGTAATCGGCTGTGCTAAGGGAATGAGAGACTAAGCGCGGAGAGGAGAGTGTGAGGCGAGAGAGCGCTACAGATGAGAGAGCGCAGACAGTAGGAGAAAAAATCTGCAGCTTCAGCAGCTTACTTTGCAAGGCCCAAGCGCTCTTGTCGGTTGGTTCCGTGCACGGAACGCCACATTTGTGATTGTCCTCTAGGGGTCTATACTACAGACCGAAGGGAAGCGTTCACACGACCTCTGCCTGGGTTGTGCCTTTAAGGAGTTATTTGATTCAGCTGTGCCAGGGCAATGAAAGACCTGAGCACGGACGAGAGAGCGCAGACACCAGCATGCAGCGGACGAGGAATGCCTCTAGCGCGGTACCTCAGACCAGGGTGAATAACGGTCGAGGAAATCCTCGACCATAGCTCTCTACCATGCGAGAGTAGTGCCGAGAGTGAACATCCGCGCGGAGAGCACAGACGGCACGGCATGGCGAGTGTGAATGTCCGCGCGAGAGATCGTGTCTGATCGGGCAGAGAATCCTCGACGTGCCGTTGAGGAATCCTCAAGCGATATTCACCCTGGCTGCGGCCCAATCGCGCGACGAGAAGACAGACTCGCAGAAGGTGGTCAACGGACAAGTTGCAGCGTACTGAAGCTATTTAGCGTCAAGTTAAATGGATTTTACTATATTACATCCCACATCGCGCAACACGCGCTACAATTCGTCCACGTATCCGTCTGCGTCCTTGCCTTCTCGCGGCGAGACGGGCCTCTTGTCGAGCACCCAGCCCTAGCTCTTCTCGTTGCGCAATTTTAGGCAGCCAGGAAAATGAACATCTAAGCCCTTCCTGCCACAAACTCAACCCTAACATCAATAAGGTTCTCCACGCTGAGTTATACCTGGGCCTGTGCCGCTGAGGAAGCAGAGTCACTAATAGTTCTACCTTCGTCGCGTTGTTGGTACGGTGCTGAGAGCGCGCGCAGCGATTGCGACCTGCCCTCTAGAAAATCGGACGCCTTCTAGAAAACCTCACCTTGCAAAACGTGTCTTTGTGTAGCTTTTCTATCTGATTGTTGGCCAGCATCAATTCGGCCAACTCAACAAATCCTCGCTTTCCGTCGGCGAAAAGCATGAACATCAAGTCGGCCTTTGATGGATGAGGCAGGACGTCTGCCGAGAGCTCCGCTCATATCGAGAACTCGCAACCTGCAACGAATCCCTTCAGAAACTTCCTATCCTGCTGCTATTTCGGAAATTTTACCTCTGCATTGGCTCGAAGGCGTAGCGTCCGGCCTTGCCTGATGTCGTTGTTGTTCAGATAGAGGAATTGACGCGCCGGCGCCCCTTTGAACGTCTCGGACGAGACCTTTCGTTATGGCGTTACCCGTCAAATTAAGTAGTGATAAACTCGAAATGCACTTCACCTAAAAATGTCGAAACTGATGTTTGTCAAGAATAAAATTATCATTGGTCGTAAATAAGGAATTTCTCACCTTCAGTAAAAAGCCCGTCTGAAACGTCTCCGAAACTGTTCCCCGTCATGGTCAATGTGTCCAGATGGGGGAAGGCTCTCTCGTGAATCTGAATGTATTTGTTTTGACTGGCCGGTGTACTCTATGAGAACACAAGAAAAAGTCAAAAGGTTTGGATTGGCCGTGGTTTCACATGTGTGTCAATGGATCTGAGTAAAACTCAAGTGCACTGCGTACCCCAAGAGAGCAAAGACAAGATCTTCTTTATGAAAACTAGTGGAAGTTGGTACAGGTTGTTCATGCCTCAGGCCAAATCAATGACAGAATCTAATGGAAGTTTTTTTTGAAACGGAACTCTGGAACTCATTCTATTTAAACATCGTTCCCACTTCTAGCGATACAATTCCTTGCTATGCTGGGTTACTTTTTACCAAACTGCCTGAGTAACAACTCAGATAAGGGTGGACATTCATGAGGTATGATATTGATCGTTTATCGCTTCAAGTAGAGATTTCAGCAATTTTCTCACAAATGCAAGCAAATTTTGGATGAATCATTGGTCGTCAACGACGAGGTTTCTCTGAAAAATCATGGAAAAAGCAATAAACTCCTACGCATGGGTCGTCATCAGAATAGCCAGCTCATCCCATTAACGCCATTAGTCAGCGATACGGTCGCACATGAAGCGCTGCTCGACATTCGAGGGGAAAAGCAAAAAATTACATTCAATCATTTACCCTCAACTATTCAAAAAGGGGAAATAGTAATTAAGCAACAGGGGGAATTCGGTGAGACTCCTTCTCATTTTAGGCCCTTAATTCGTGCGCTTCGGCGGAAGTGGTGTAGTGGCAAGTGGCACGCTTACCACGCGAGCGGTCCGGGGATCAAATCGTGAGTCGCCCGGGCCAACCAAGCCTTCCATCCTCCGGGGTCGGTTAATTGGTACCAGACTTGTCTGGGAGGATAAAACACTGACTTGTACATCGGCTGGCCCCCGCAAGTCATTGTATAGGCCACATCGCATTCAAACGCCACTACGAATGTACAAATGGAAGTAGAATGCGTGCCGCATCCCAAAAAGGGATTGATCAACGGCAAATGCTTTATCCTTTATCCTTTATCTGTGTCGGTACCGCATGGTGCCTGAAGGTATCCCTCTGTCGAAATTTCCAGGTCGGGGGTTATCACGACTTTTTTCGTGTGGGTGCATTTTTAGTAGAGATTCGCTCTAATACGATGACCCAAATGGAACTTACAAGCACGTTGGGATCAATTGCGACTTTCGAGCTTTTCGTTGAAGGGTGCGAATTTGAGAAGAGCGGCACGACAGCGGTCCTAAAGATTTTCGCCTTTATGCCGATGAACGGGCTCCCCGTGCAGGATCCAACGTCCCTAGCTGAAGGGGCTGGTGACCTTAGCAACAAATGCTGCTCTGAACATTCCCCATCTAGATGTCGGCATCGAGTTTTATGCCTTTACCGACAGACACTGAAGGATAGCAACCGCTTGTCGAGACCCCATTCCAGACTAGTACAGGAACTGGCAGCTGTTGGCGAAGAACAACCGTTCATGCTTCGCGGCTTCTACAGAAGCTCAAGTGAGTAATCCTGAAGTTTGACGGGTGTGGCTTCCTTCCACGAGAAAATTTTCGCGTCCGAAAACATGGTCCTCAGGTGATCGTCTTCTGCGGCTCTTTTTAGGAGCGCCTCACAATTTGTTGCTGTTAGCCGTCTGTGCCTCATTTAAAGCCATATTCTCACAGCAACTTAAGATTGCCTGCATGGTAGTTCTTGTAGGACAATTTCCGGCGGGAGCTGCTACTTGCAACATCAACGTATCTTCCACTGTGCTCCTACAGATTGTGGTCGACTCAGTTCCTCACACTGTTCCTGAAATGATTCCGCGAAAAAGCCGAAGTTACGGGACGATGCAGCGAGCACGACTATCCACTGCTCCTTTCTTCTATGCCGATTGTGGAATTGTGCGATACCAAAAGACAAGCAATGGCTGTTTGAGAATGTCCTGCCTCGCTCAGGAAGGGGATAGCAGCTCTACTATTCGGGTTCGGACACACCCCGAATCGGAAAGCTAACAAGGGGTCATGAAATTTTGACAAGCTTTTTTAGAAGAGTAGCACTGATGAAGCACTGATGAACCTATCGATAAGGTAAAGCAGTAACCTCCAACAAAAACTGCGTCGAAATTTGTTGCAGTAATTATGGAACGCCCTGTACATAATGTCTTTCAAGTGCTGACAACTTAGAAAGCCTTTCTGTACCAGGAAGAGAAAAAATATCGGATGCGATTTTGTCAAATTATGGATAAAAATAATGACAACCAAGTCTTATTGCTTCACTAGATGCCAACGCGATCGATTCTGGGCTCAACATTAATAAGGCATTTGGCGTTGATCAATCCCGTTTTGGGATGCGCCACGCATTCTACTTCCATTTGTACATTCGTAGTGGCGTTTGAATGCGATGTGGCCTATACAATGACTTGCGGGGGCCAGCCGATGTACAAGTCAGTGTTTTTATCCTCCCAGACAAGTCTGGTACCAATTAACCGACCCCGGAGGGATGGAAGGCTTGGTTGGCCCGGGCGACTCACGACCCAGGATTTGATCCCCGGACCGCTCGCGTGGTAAGCGCGCCACTTGTCACTACACCACTTCCGCCCTTTACTATATTAGGCAAGAATTTCGCATAACATAATCGAAATCCACCCTTCACAACTGTGGGATGAGAAGCAACTCAATCAGGTCAACCCAATTAGAGTCCCCCCCCCGCTTGATTGTTACTTCCTGAACCTGACGCAAAAAATTGCGTGGGAACAATATGAACACGTGCAACTGCTGGAACCATTTCCTACTAACTTTCCTAATTTCTTTGTAGTTTGTGGGAGTTTACCTTGCACGAGAAGGTAAAAGCCCCTGCGAAATTTTTCCTTGGTAAGTTTATAAGAATGCGACGACAACTCGGGAATCGCGACCCTTCTCATTGTTCCTTGCTCGACGGGCCAATTACCCTGGCCCGAAGTATGGAAATCATTTGAAAAAGGTAGAATGACAGGAATGAGGCAATCACCTGCTGAAAAACGTCGGAGTTTCTGAATCGTGAACCAATACAGGTGACGTGAGTGCTGTTGCAGATGCATCCTGGACGCGGGCAGCTTGCTTCTTCTTGAGTCGGATACCGACTACCTGAACAACAAGGCTGGGTACTGAGTAGTAATAACAGCCCAAAATAGCTGGAAAAATCCTCTTTTTGCTGGTCATTTTTCCCCCATTCGAAAAACCTCCGTATGCTTGGAGGCTTGAATGCCTCAGTAAATATCTGGTCAAGCAGGAGCGAGATCCAGACGAACCGCAATAATTCTATTATAGCTGTTCCTTCAAAAGGAAATAATTCAATTTAAGGCTGCAAAGGCATCGATAGGAACGCCACAATTACAATACTTCAAGGACTGGTTGTAGAAAAGAAACTAAAAATTTCGAGAAGAAGTAAGAAGAAAATTAAAATAAGGAAAACGATGCTTAGAAGAATAGGCACGTATTGCCCTAATCGACTCGGTTGCCTCTTTCATAATTATGTTGTCAGAAAAACAAAGAAAGGAGCAAACTTCGAAAATAAAGAGCAAAACATGAAAAATAAAAGAGAAAAGCGTGAAGAAACAAAGCCAGAGAATCCCAGCTAAAGGTAATCCAATAGTAAGGTAACCCTATAAACAATTTCACTCACGGTTACACTAGCATCACCATTTAAAGGCAAAAGTCGGGCTCAATAAGGGGTATTATGGCGATTGAAACTGAGTATAGAGATGCGAAGTGGAACGACAGTGGAGAAAAAACTGAGAAAAACCGTCGACAAGGCCGTTAACAAAACCCTCTTTCCCACTAGCAGTGAAGGAGGCTGGCTTGGGAAGAGGCACGTACAAACAAGTTTTCTGGAGATGTCAGTCGTTCTATCGGTTGATACGGCAATCAACCTAGCTGTTTCACACGTTATGCCAGCCACGCACCACTTCCGGAGGTGGGCGGTCCCGGATTGACGAGGCGGTCCCGGATTGAAACCGACGCCCGGGGCTTAGCGACGTTTTTTCAAGGTGGAAAGTTCGTAATGGTGAGTACCCAACACAAACCTCCAGCAACGGGGAACTACTTCTCTAGAGTCTGAGCCGCACCTTTAATGATTACTTGAAGCCTTGCGCACGCATTATGTGCGCAGGAAGTAGTCCTCTAAGTTGGAAAAAGGCGCCAACCCGCACAGCCACACACCAATGACTTTACGCCACTGACGCGCTAAGGCTAGCCTTGCACACTTCCATGCGCTCAGTCTATTCATCTCGCGCCTATACCTCGCTTGTCTGCGCTCTCTCGCATACTACGTACCTGTCGCGTTTATCCTTTCTCCACGCAGCCTCAGTGCTCTCGATCTTGCAAGGGAAATTCTACTGATTCTGCTTTCTCTCCATCCCACGTTTCAACATCCACACTTTTGCTATTTCGAAGAAAAGCACACCGATTCGACCTCCCGACTTTATGGGTGTCTTTATGATAGAAGTGCGTTTTTATCCACGTATTCTCGTGATAAGACAACATAAATGCACTGACGGCTAGAGTGTAAAGAAGAGAGTGACTTCACGAGTTGAAGAGAGACCGCCTAGA